CGAAACATGTTGTAAAAATGTTCCAAATGTAAATCGATTATTCGATGTGGAACATAAAATGATAATTTAATTATCTTATTTGTAAATTTTAAATTTTAAATATAATTGTGATTAGACGGACAAAACCGAATAATTAAACTTAAGCCATTTAAGTTGAAACGATGTGTATAACGCGTTCAGTGCGGTACTGCAGGTGGGTGTACAGCAGTATTTACGTCGTAATATTTTGTTACCATGTGTTAACTTCGGTTTGAAGTGTCCTTAGAGCTAAATATAGTACAGTGTATATACTTTACTCAACCTCAGAGGACAGAACTTAGCATTAACTTCAGGGGAGGTGTTTTCATTCCATCGTACTTCAACTGGAGTTTAACTTTCTCAATACCTAAATTCCATGGAGACTCATGTTAGGTGATCTTATGATGTATCGGGAGGTTAAGAGCCGAACACAATTTTCTCACAGTCTACCTGATGTCGAATTTACAAAGATAATTGTTTCCTCTTCCAGCGATTAATAAACTTCTCATAGCGAATATAATACGAGATTACACATATAAACTGTACAAAATTAAACTTTAATAATATATTAATTATTTTTCTGAGGTCAATGCGTAATCCAGTGATAAAATTATGCTTTAACACGTTTAACCCCCTTTTAAGTGAATGTTACAAAATAAACTTATCAGGAAAGTTAGATCACATAACACATCGGTCATATGGAACTTTCTCAAAGCCGCAAAAGTTATAATCAGTAATCATTGGCACAAATAACCGGATTAAATTAAGTTGATATAATTGCGTCATATTGTGAATTAAAATTTAATTATTCGTGTTTTTTTCCGTCTAATCACAATTGTATATAAATAAAATTATATATATATAAGATATTAAAATAAACATGTAGTAAAAAGTTGTACCAAATATGTAAATGATATTTTAATATCTTATGTATAATTTTATTTATATACAATTGTGATTAGACGGAAAAAAACACGAATAATTCGGATTAAATTAGTTTTCACTACTCTTGAATCCTTCCAATCCACTACCCAACAAGGACAAGGGCTTCTTTCACGAAGGTAATGCGGCCGAAGCGTGACGCTGTCCTAATTAAGTTTTAGTTTATAAGATTATAATTTTTAACTTTTAACTTTACACCTGAAGATGGTTCAATGTAACCGAAACATGTAGTAAAAAGTTGTACCAAATATGTAAATGATATTTTAATATCTTATGTATAATTTTATTTATATACAATTGTGATTAGACGGAAAAAAACACGAATAATTCGGATTAAATTAGTTTTCACTACTCTTGAATCCTTCCAATCCACTACCCAACAAGGACAAGGGCTTCTTTCACGAAGGTAATGCGGCCGAAGCGTGACGCTGTCCATTCGTCTTCAGTAGAGTTTTAAGAATTCGTGAAATTATGCGTACATGAAGCTTAATTAAGAACAGGAAGATTATCGTTACGGGTAATTTACTGTTACATATAAGAAAGGATTGTAATCGAAAAGCTTGCTGACTTTGACGGAAATAAAGTTTTGGCTTTAATTTAATTGGGTTCAACGGACAACCTTATGCCTAAATAGGCCTAGTATTATAAATAATCATACAAACAGCATATAAATACAGAATGATTGCAAAACTCCAATGGGCATAGATAATTTGTGAAACTGTAGGCATGTGTGGCTAGAAAATACTGAAACAGAGTTAAAGAATTACTTTAAAGAGATGCAGGTTCCATTCAAGGCGTCTGGTGATAATTTAAACAAAAGTTAGAACGACTTTATAAATGTGTGCAGTGATATTACAAATTTAGTCCGTTTTGCAACAATAAATTCGTATTTTTAATAAACGGAAAAAAAAGCCATTGAGTTAAGCAGAATCACTCAGAACGAGTTTGGAAAATGATGACATCTTTCCACTCTTGCTTTCCCAGGTACCGCATAATTCCCACCATGCCTTCGGAAGAAGGCGACACCGATGATGACGCGGACGTCGTAACAAGTATGAATGACGTCGCGAGCACGTCATTGTCCCGTTCTGCGTTGGATCTCCGGATGGGAGTTGCAAGTTTCTGTAAGGCGTTTCCGTGGCATTTTGTGGTGGACCGACGGCTGGAGATGGTGCAACTGGGAGCGGGATTCATGCAACTTTTCGCTCACGACTTTCAAACTCTTGGTACATCCGTCGCCACCTACTTCGAGTTCCGTCGACCGAGGGGCATCGCTCTCTGTTTCAGCGAGATAGTGAAACGTGCCAACACCCCTTTCGTGCTGGCTATCAGATGGCCGGACTCAAAGGCAGAAGAGAGACTCGCTGAGGTAAGTCAACCAGATTTACGTACGAATTGAACAATGACATGACCTCAGCTTAGTGTAAAACAAACACGTAGTCGGGAGATGGAGGTATACTTTGTATTTATAACCTTAATTTCTTATTTTATAAAGGATGTGATATGGTAACATCTACGTGTCCCTGTGTCTGTGTTTTTAATAACTTCTGAAACACACGAGAGATTTTCTCGAATCTTTGTGTCGGCATCTTGTTACTGCTGTAACTATCGCATCACTGCAAAAATTGGAGGTTACCTCAGGCAGATTAACGTACATGGGAATTATGCGCAGAAATTAATCACAAACTAATATAATTCGTTACATTTTGCTAGTATTAACAAATAGATTGAATAATTGGAAAGAATGTATCTGTCTTGCGTTCTCTGCAGACATTTTTGAAGACAGAAAGATAAACTGATGGATTGAGAACCAAAAGTAAATTATCCATCCGCAAAAAATAAGAGAGTCACGAGGTGGCATGTGCAATGCTTTTCCTTAAACTTCCTTTCATCTATGAACCAGAATGTAACATTAGTTTTCCATGGAAGTCTGCTCAGATAAGAGGCCGTTGGTTTGTAACGAGTATGACGAAACTAAGCTCGGTCATGTCTGTGTGATGGTAACTGCACGACACATCCTGCATACAGGAAGCAGGACCTGGGCAGGAATACTGAACAGGGAGAGACACGACGACGGCGATGATAATAAATCTGGAAGAAAGATGCCACTATACAAAATGCGGGGAGGGGTTACGCTTTCTGAATGCTCTAGGTCCTGAAGTTTGTCCGCAGGATACGACACCATGCGAGGTAAATAAAATGTCAGGAAGAGAATGGAGCAGTAAACAAAGGGTTTAGTCACGATGTATATATAGTTTATACCGAGGTAGCTCAGTAACTAGGGACACTAACGAAAAAAGGGGACCTCAGTGAACGATCGAAAACTTTGGTTTCAAGACACAGAAAAATCTTTCGCGTTTTGTACTCCTTTAAATGCAGTAAGATGGAACATACAGGAGATTCGTCTAAATATATTTCATTTATTTACGAAATAATTAATATCCATCTTAAACCTTACACTTCAGCAGATAATAACACATTTCTTTATTTCAATAGGCCACTTTACCAAATTTTACAGTTGAAATGCTGATAATTATGGAGTTCAGGAAACTCAGCCTGTCATTTTGTAACTGATACTTCGTTATAGTTAAGGGATTATGAGTCAAAGTAGCGTACTATGACCCGTCGAAGTTGACGAGAATGAATCTCACTTGTGTTGAACAGCAACAAAATTCACTTTATCTTTGCAAATCGCATTGAAGGCACACAATTTACAAAATTTATTTACAAAATAGATTGAATGTGAAAACATTACACTTCCATGCTGTAGGTATACAATTGATATCACTTTTCACACCCCTGTTGAAAACTTTTCTCGGCAGTGAAAACTCGTGATGAAAAGTGAGATTTATCTCTCTGATATTCGATAACATCTGCCACTGTAAAAAAGCCCATTAAGTCTTCAAGGGAATCAAAAGAAATGGTTTTCTTTGCAGTATCTTTCTGGACACTAATCCAAAGGGAACATTCCATTACATGGCATGGCGTCTTGAAGCTCATCACCTTTTACTGCAGAAGAAACATTATGCATATTTTATGCACATTTTACTGCAGAAGTAACATTGTGCAGATATTTTTTTCTGTTCTTATTCTTTATTTTATTTCTTCCATTTTATTTTTTTTGGAGGGGGGGGGACATGTAAGAATGGACCTAGAGAATTCTTTTTCCGACACAAACGAAGTTAAATAAGGCTAGCCTAGTTAATTAACATATTTTGCCAATGTCTTTTGCAGGGTCTGGAACTCAAAGGACAGATGGTGTTTTGTCCAGAATCGGATTCGATCTTATTCGTCGGATCCCCATTTCTTGATGGCCTGGACGGTCTCACGGGCCGCGGGCTATTTATCTCCGATATTCCTCTGCACGATGCGACTCGTGACGTCATCCTCATCGGAGAACAGGCGAGAGCACAGGTCAGTTCTGGTGCTTGTTCTCTTATTCATGGACGAAGTCAGGGGATATTCGATGCAACTTGAAATAAAATCTACTTGCTTTCCATGTGTGTGGCTGAGAAACTGCATAAAATATTTTATACCAACGAGTAGTGGTTTGTTTGAGTTAACTCCGCCGAGAAAAGTTCAACCCGAGAGGACAATATAAAGCTCAACTAGTCAAAACAATTCCATATTTTATGGAAACCGAATATTTCTCAGTAGCTCCATTAAAAGTTCCACATGTCTTTCTCCAGTAGTCTAGAGGTTATTTTCGCCAAAATGGAAACCAAATATAAGTTTTGAGCGGCCGCCATCTGAAAGATTCACGTTCTACAAATAAAATAATAAATAAATTTTCGTGAAAATTCTTTACTCGGTTAAATATTTACTAAGGGGACTGGCTACAGTACTAGCGCATGCGCACGCTCGTACACTTTCTCACTCTCCACCGCATAATTAATATTACTCAAATAAAACTGACGACTTTAATAGTACACAAATCTTGTAGACATAAAAAATGAAAATTGAAATAAACAAACATATTTTTTTCATTATAAATAAACGACTAACATCTCTCTTTCTTTGTGTTTCTTCAAAGAAAGTGAGGTAGTATTCATTTTCTTTTCTTGACTTTTCATATTCTCCACAGGTTCTCCTACTGCATTACTTTTCATGTTTTACCTATAGACAAGATGACTCGATTATTCAAATTATGATGGAACATAGGGTATCCCTTCCTTTGCTTTGATGAGAAGATTTTAAAATTCATAACCCGAGTTCTCGCAGCTTCATTGTTAACCTAAGAGTTAACGGAAGAACCCCTTGTAGAGCCGCATCACACCACACATGCCACTTCATGACGGTATCTGTGATGACTTCGTAACAAACGAGAGAGTCTATACACAAATTCGTGTACTGGAGAAAAAATGTGCGATTATCCACGTTCATGGACAGGTAAGTCTTAGAAGGACTGGGAATTTTTATGCATTTGCAAGACTTTTGTAGTCGTAGATGTGTTTGAAACATCTCAACATAGACATTTCAGAAAGTTAGTTACACAGATTCATTACTTAGTATCCTGTCAGTGTGAGATTAATACTGTTGATCACAGCGAGTTTCACGAAAGTCGATTAATTAGCTCCCATAATCTGGTTTGTGACACCATGTGGCTTGTAAGAGCTTGCCAACGTTTCGGACGTACGTGTTATCATAAGATTTCATTATTATAACGAAACTTAAAAGCGTTTCCTTATGCCTTTCTTTATTTTATTTATGAATACTCATACAACCAGTGGCCTTGTATGAAATTCATTGTTACAAGTGCCCATTAGTTGAACGTAATTTACCTTCTGAACTGAAGTATGAGACAACTTATTTTCGTCCTTCCACTCCAGGGGGACTTTTCAACTTATAAAACATTTCACGTGAAGAAAAGACTACAGATATTAAGGGGTGTTGTTTCCATGGAGACCACCCGTATAAAGCCAGATTTATGGGAGAATCCTTAGCGGAAGACTACCCCTATTCCATACTGTAACTGCTAACGCGTACCGTGTAATTTATGGCATTGAATTGAAGTGAATATGTAAATATATTTCAATATATTTCAGAAACCCGTATTATTACCGCATGTGGTAATTGTATTTTTACATAATTGAAATTCCAAACCAACAAAACATTTTAATCACAATAAAAATCACCATCATTAAAAGAACGAAACTGGAAAGGGTAAACAATTTTCTGTCTTTGATCGTGAGATTGAATTAATTTGTATCGATGTATATACGATGTGGAATACTGGATGTGGTTTCATTGTAGTACTGGAAAAGGAGAATGCAAAAGTAAGCTAAATCCAACGATGCAGTAATTTTCAACTTTTGCTAAAATTGATTTGTGGTATTTAGCTCTTTGTCTCCATATTTCCGTTATTTGTACCATATATTTTGGTCCAAATCGAAGATCCACATCTCAGTACTTCATATGATTCTGGAATTAATTCTATTTATTTCACCAGTTGAGGCGATATAGTTCTCTTTCGAAATTGGTGGATAATCTGGTTCGAATCTCCGGTGAAGCATTAGTTATCCTCACTTGAAATTTCCATGGTTTTACTGGGTACTTCAAATAAAATTGTGGAGACGACCTTCAAATTGGCCCAATTTGCTTCAACATACTTTTCAGTTCCATACACGCGTTCTAACCTTGACAAGGCGTTCTTGGAATCCCACTAATCATTAAGTAATGGTATAACATACCACGCAACCGTATGCGATATTTCGTGTGACATTAGTGTTCTAAATGGATATTCAATCCAATATAGTATCCCATGATATTGTGTATTAAGACTAAGAGACAGATTCACTCGATCAATCCCTGGTAGAGGGCATCCAGTTTAACAACCGGCTTGCCTTCAACTTTTAAATTTGTTAATATTAGAATTAACATTAGAACATTAGAAATTTGTTCCTCAGTCCCTTCATTTTCGAGAAGTAATCAAACCGAACTGTTTGTTAGAGTGCCAGTCCATTACTTTATATTCGTGAGGTCCTGGGTTCTACTCTTTGCCTGAAGATTATCCTGTCAGAATTTTTGTGGATTCCCTCATTTTGTGCTGTTTACTTTCAAATTGGGTATTTGCCTCTTCCATTCACATATTTACTGATTTATAATTCGCTATCGCTCTGTCGTCACACAGTTAAAAAAAGACGTCCCAGACACAAAGTAGGGCCTTCAAATTTTGCGTAATTGTAGACCTGCAAAAAAGCAATTTCATCTTATGCAATCTTTTTATAACTTTAAATAATATAGCAACCACATGATTATTTATAGTTCTAATTTATGCGAAGAATTATGAAGCATTGTAGATTAACATAAAGAAATTAATATTTTAATAATTAACTTAACTGTTTGTTTTACGCACGAAGTCTTATGCAAAGCCTATAGTTAATACAGCATCTTTATCAACCTACTAATTAATGTTTATGTCACGTGGCAATGACGTGCGTATGATACTGTTATATACTGTGCTGGTGCAGTCATGTTCACGACAGATAACATTGCATCGGAATGTTGGTGCGATATCTTCCGTGACATGGGTACTCCGACCGTACCGAACAGGTCGCTGGTAGTGTTAGCTTCAACCTCATTGTGTGCACTTTGACAAAAGGAGAACTTCCTGTTAGGCTACTCAATTAATGTGAGAAAATGGTTGATTGCTAAAGATACTGATAAGCGTAAGCTAAATTAGCCTCGTGTGTTCAGTGCTTACGATATCAGTGGTTTGGAAAGAAGCCTGTTTGGTTCTCCGAAAGGAACGCCTGATTCTGTACAGGTTACTGTTTAGACGGTATTGTTGATTGATTTGTATTTTGGAATGAAAGGGAAAAAGATTAAAGAAAAGAACCATTTAGAAAAATCTTTTATATCGCAAAGTTAATATCTCATTAACATCTATAGCTTTTATGTATAACTCCTTTTCACATGGTGTTATATAATACAGAAGTCAGAGAATTTTAGATGATAAAATTTTGTTCAGAGATTAGCATATTACTCATATTGTATATGCACTTCACTGATAACCATAGTTCTGAGATTAGCTTTATATCAAGCACCTACAGAGGAACTGTTAGGCTAAATCCTGCGTGGTACGAAACACGTTATATTGCATAATGTACGTTTTAGGAAACTTTCCTTCTTTATGAATTAGGGCCCGTACCGTTAATGAAACAAGTTAAATTGTCTGTTTCGTTAATGTATCCGCTTCCCCAGTCTTAAATTTCTTACTTTCCTGCTCCATTATGCATAAATTGTTATTCAAGGGAACTCCATAAGCTGTAGAGATCCTGTTGCAGATTTCTTTGGCGTGAACATGACCTGCTATTAAGCCTGCTGTTAACGGGATTCCAGGTTTTAAAAGAACTCATTTGTCTTCCGTACTGCAGCTGCTTTGGTAGAAATGGCAGTCCTGTGGTTCCTGCTACAAAGCAATGGTGAAAATCCATTGTCTAAAAGTAATGTCTTGTACCTCGTAGTCTATTCAGGTTTGACTTACTTTAAGACGCACTTAACCTAAACATGTTTTGGCGTATTGACTGCAGAATATTAGGGGAAACTGCAAAGGAAGACGAATTAATGATGTATGCTACAAATTTGGTTTAAGAGGACGCATCTTCTGAAATAAACGAAACTTCTTTTGAATTCAGGTTGTGCAATTAAGGGTCCTGATTCCTTACCTCTAGCTCAGCGTTTCTCAACCCATGGTACGCGTACCACTGGTGCTTTTAATACGTGTTTTCCTTAGCCACCTCTACTGTAATATCATCATTGATATCAAAGATGTGAGCATTTATAATACAAGTCAACTAATGAGCCTAACAGGTTGTCGTTAGTTCTCGACTTTATAGCAGACTTCGTTTCTTTCTGTTCCGTGTTTATGGCTGAAATAAAAATTGTTACTTGACTTCTGAAACTGAGTTATGCAAAGCTGTTGAGAACCGATATATCTCTGGCTGTATCTTTTGTGACAATGAAGAACAAATGAAGTATAATTTATAGTCATGGCAATTACTTTAGTAGGTCTTTCTCTTCTCAAGCTTGATATCGTGAAATCAGCCAAAGATCCGTACTTACAAACTCTGTCTTCAGAGATTAAATAAAATTTATTACTATGATGGTGGTAGAATGATATTAAAATGGATCTTGAAAATATAAGGAGGGATAATGTGGACTTGATTTAACTTGCTCAGGATAAGGACTGGTAGAGGGCTCTTGTAAACAGGGTAATGAAACATGGTTCCATAATAGATGATTTTGACTAGGTGAGCGACTACCAGCTTTACAAGAAAAATTCTGCTTCATGTAGTTAGTAATTGAGTTTACTGTGTTTAAGCAGGTACTTAGAAGAATACTTAATATGTAACTTCATTAATCGTAACACAAGAATATTCAAACTTAAGATTATTTTAATCTTCTTCAATAAATTCGGGCTAGTGACTTTTTAAGAATCTTCTTAAGTTTTTAGTGCCCTTCGGTGGTTTTAGCCCAAAACGGGTTTTATGAATTCAACGATGATCCGCTTTCTTTCCAACAAATTTAGTTTAGCACACAGAGAACTTTAATTAATATATTACTGCAACCTTTGTCCCGTCTCTTTGGGGCTGGTTAAAAGAAACTTCCTGTTCTTAATTAAATGTATCATTGTCCTTGTAATCTTGCTCAATAATTTCGTAAAGGAAAGGAGAGGAAATTAAAGTTTTACTTCATTGCTTTGAGATTCTGGAAATTAATTCTTATTGTTACAAAACTTAGTAATGAATGAATTTCCGTGTGATCCTTATGCGAGAAAAAAATAGTTACTTTGAAGATCACAAAATGCTGCTCAGTTTTATAACTCCGAATGTAATGGACCTGTAACACATTTTCTGTTACTGTTTTAAATACATTATGTAATAAACTTTCAGCAGTCAGATAAAAATAAACCAGCGACATGGTCATATTTCATTCATTAAATGTATTCAATACTGAATTCGATTACGTATTACTAAGGATGTTGTCTGTCAACATGAGTAAAGAATAAACTCGTGATAAATGCTTTCCCAGTAAGCAGCTTACAAGTTGAAGATTTCCGTCTTCTGGGTTGTTGCGCTGTGTAGTCTGATCGATGTTAACCAACGTTTCAGAGGTCATACTGCCTCCGTCATCAGGGCGATGAATCGCCCTGATGACGGAGGCAGTATGACCTCTGAAACGTTGGTTAACATCGACCAGACTACACAGCGCAACAACCCAGAAGACGGAAATCTTCATACTCACCGCTGTGAGAACCTCAAGTCTTACAGCTTACAAGTTGTTTCAGTCAGTCATGATGACAGCACGTGCGCCTGCGAATAGAATCAAATGGGGCATTTACGAACAGGTTAGTCGCGGTTACAAGACACTGGACAGGATGAAAAATATTACTTTTGTGTAGGAACGTTTCAACAGCCCACCTCATAGATGATGATGATAGCGATGGTAATAATAATAATAACTGTGATACTTCATTCATTTAACTGCCTGCTGAAGAAACGATCGAGGTTCGATTCAGTATAGGAGGGTCAGGATTGTCTCCTCTACATTACTCCCATCGAACAAAGTATAGTGGGCTTTTTCTCTGGGGTGAAGACTCCCAGGGCGTGGAGCCGATCATTCACCTTTATAGGCGATGTTACGAACACGTGGAACATTATCTTCGCTATTAAACAAGATGGCTTCACGTTTTAGTTCTGTGCATAACGTTTATAGTATCAATTTACACTGAAGGTATCCTGCGGCGTTTGATGGCGATAAGAAACAGTAGTACCTCTTCGCTTTGCGATGTAACTGCGTCGACCGCCGCGTTTGGTAGTCTTAGCGGCACAGTCGTCAAATAACCGCACTGTACAGTGAATGAGCCATAAGGAGGTCGTGTCTTCAGTCGCTTCGTCCATCTCTCTGCATGTTCCATGTTCAAAACTACTCAACAGTATTTGGTATTGCGATACAAATTACAAGTTGTCAGGTGAATTTAATTTCGGTTCATTTTGTTACAGTATGTACAGATCCTACATAAAAAGGCGCTTGAATCCAACATCATTTTCCTCGAAATACTTTTGTAGTGCGAAAGACTGATAACAAAATCCGTTTTTCAGTAGGATACAGAGTGTTTTTTTTAAACATTCTATATCCAAGAGGAAACTGAATTCCTTATATGTGTATCTATAAGTTGCAATGCCACTTACAGGTCGACATGTAGAACAAATTTAAGTCCAGAAATCTGTGACAACTGAAATCATGTCACGTGTTAACATAACAAACGAAAGTTTGCAAATTTAAGTCCAGAAATCTGTGACAATTGAAATCGTGTCACGGGTTAACATAACAAACAAAAGTTTAAATTACAAGTTGTCAGGTGAATTTAATTTCGGTTCATTTTGTTACAGTATGTACAGATCCTACATAAAAAGGCGCTTGAATCCAACATCATTTTCCTCGAAATACTTTTGTAGTGCGAAAGACTGATAACAAAATCCGTTTTTCAGTAGGATACAGAGTGTTTTTTTTAAACATTCTATATCCAAGAGGAAACTGAATTCCTTATATGTGTATCTATAAGTTGCAATGCCACTTACAGGTCGACATGTAGAACAAATTTAAGTCCAGAAATCTGTGACAACTGAAATCATGTCACGTGTTAACATAACAAACGAAAGTTTGATTGTTTAGTTGAGCCAGTTCAACTACCCATGTTTAGATGACTTTATTCAATTGAAACAATTCACAGCATAATTATCAAGTGGTGACGTATCTTGTAATTTTCAGGATGGATTGCGCAGACGAATGGATAAGTTGAAGAACTCTATTGAAGAAACTAATCAAGCCGTCGACAAGGAACGTCAGAAGAACGTGAGCCTGCTGCATCTAATATTCCCCCCGGACATCGCCAAAAGGCTCTGGCTAGGTTAGTGGTCCCAGCGGGTCTCATTTAACAGGCGCAAAGTACCTTCGTCACCCCTGGATCCAACCTGCCCATAAACAAGCTCTGTATCAAACAGCTAAGCCGTACGAACAACGTTTTGCGTCTAAATCTAAAACTCTAAATTATTTTATGGACTTACGTTATGTTTGTTATGTTTTGCGGCTGCTGTATGTTGTTTTGAAGTCAGCGCCCATTCTTCCCGAACTCCGGATTTTCCTTAAAATAAATTGTACTTAAGTAACAAAATTGCGTATCTTTTGATAACGTCATGAATACGTGTTGAATGTGCATATACATGTAGGGTACGCGACTTGTAAAAGGAAAATATATTTTCGTGACAGAAAACACTTTATCCTGTACATGAAAACTAGTATATATAAGACAAACGGATTTATATTTTAATTATGTTCTTTTACTGTTGTCTCTAATTTAAATTCGGAGATAAATAACTTCATAGAAAATAATTATTCTCGGTAACGCGAGAGTTATTCAGAATAACACGAAATACCTAGGCTCCTCTGTAACCCCAATTAATATTAATAGACACCACTTGATCCGGCTTGAGCCATTTAAATCCAATCCACAGCTTACACCTAATTTGTTCAACACCCATTTTAGTAGTATCCTCCCATCTACTTCTTGGTTTTCTAAGTGGTCTCTTACCTTTAGAATTTGAGGCTAAATCGGAGATCAGTTAAATTGTCGAAGCCTTTTTACTGTTCAGCTGCTGTTTGCAGGGCAGCCGATCGAGGCGAAAACACACGATGACGTAACGATGCTGTTCAGCGATATCGTCGGCTTCACGTCGATCTGCTCTACAGCCACGCCCATGATGGTGATCAACATGCTCCAGGACCTGTACAATCAGTTCGATGTCTTCTGTGGCCAACTCGACGTATATAAGGTAAGGTTGCACTCAGTTGATCTGGTAGTTTATAAAACAAAAATTCTTCTTTTATGATCAGGTGCGTGGTCAGCCTGCTCGCAGTTCTATGAAACCTACAGCAAACAGTGTTTTAGCCTTTGGTATTTATATGTACCATTAACTGCAACTGTGCCCTATACCATAAATTTTCTAAAAATATTTTTATGTTATTGTTTCACTCAGTATATTTTGTTTCGATTTAATTTAATACGATGTGACATTTAAATGAAATTCAAGCGTAGTTTTAGAAATTCTTGACTGGATTTGTAATTATTTAATTGTGCTCATGTGACTGTCGTCATACACAGGGGTTATGTTTCTGCTAATCGCCGCGTATAACGAAACGGTTAAAGAGGTGAACGTAGAACACGTTAATATTCGCTTTCATCCTATTTATCCTTGTTACTTTTAAAATGACCTACGCATAACAGTTATACAACGTAAACTGTCTGCGAATTCTGGTGTTCTATACGCTCTAGCGTAAGCGAAGAACAATTTATGGCCCGTTCATACCTTCTTGCGTTTCTCCCAACATTGAGATCGCAGTTCCCATATGAAAGCATTCTAGAAGAGAGATTTAAAAGTGTAGGTACGATGTGTAAAGAGTTTTAAGTGTCAATTTAGATGAATGTGTGATCATAAAAAGAAGTCGGAAGGTAGGGAGAGTGGTGAAAGCGAAATGTGAACGGTATAATCATAAAATAAGAACGTGGAGGTTCTGAAGTATTCATAAAGTTAAAATACCGACAAACGTAAGTTTCAAAGAAGAAATTACAGATAGAATTAAATTGCAGGACAACTTTCCTAATTAGTAAAAGGCACTCCCTGGAAATGGCAGGTGTTTAAGAGGAGACAAATTCATTTGTTTAAAAGTTACAACACTCCCATTTTATCGGACAGAGCAGAGATGGAATTTTTAAGAGTCTAGAACGAAACACCGAGAGCTGGGAAGTAAGAAAAGAAAAATTCAGCGACAAACAACAAAATAAGATTGTACGGACACGTTTTAAGATTGAAAGAAGAGAGTGTTCGAGATAAAGCTTTGAACATGAAAGCAAAATGGAACAACGCAAGAGTGGAGATTATAAAACAGACTAGGAGAGATGTCACGAATGGAATAACATGGGAAAAAGTTGAGGAGGAGGGTGGAGAGGCGTGGTTGTTAGACGCCCACATAAAGTGGGTGGATGATCATGAAACAACATACCGCTTCAAAACTATTCCTGATTTACAATCGCATCAACTACATACATAGTAATTGAAGCTAACCTCCAATTGTTTACCCGTTCCTCGATGACATGTTAAATAATGTAATCGGTCTCTGGAAATTGCATTTCACTGTCCTTCCCCACAGCCTGTTGTTTACGAAATATCAACTCTATAAAGGCATGCTACTTCTGCTCCGGATTAGTCCGGGAACTGAGGGGGCAGGGATGAGAAACACAAGGGCATTATAATTTTTTCAAGCTATCTACTGAATATCTGGGTAGTTATTCTAATGTTATGATAAACATTATCCATTGTCTGAGGTATATTTTATATGCTTGACGTTTTGAGTACAGCCAACTCCCGAAATGTTTTGTGTGTGTTATAATGATGAATTTGCGTTTACCATAAATCTCTAGAGACGTCTGTTTGTCGTTTTTGCTTTTATACTTCGCTTTACATTTGGAAAATTGGAGCTGAAGTTTAGAATTCTCAGTTGTCATATTCTCATACTAAATCGTAGCCTACGTAGTTGACGACTATAATAAATAAACTAAGAAACAAACAGAATTAGATATTTATGGTGTTTGAGGGAAAAGTGTTGCTGTAGTTACGTTGACCCAAAGGAAGAACCGTAGTAAATTATCTTGAAATATTAATACTTATAAGTATTTTAAAGTAGTTAAGCTAATTGCTATGAACTAGGTGCCTACGTGTATCAAGATCTCGAAAATGAAACGTGCATATGAAACTATCGTCTCATGAATAACTTTGCTCTGTGGAGTTAGAAAATGCCGATACCACAGAATATCGCATACCAAAAATGCTGTGGTGGTTTCCTTCGCTCTGCATTTCTTGTTTAGATAGCTCTTTAATCTACAATGATTCTTAAATTCCTACATAAGTGAGAGTCCGTACAGATGGCTGCACTGTAGGTTAATTCTGTGCTGTTTGTAAACACGTTTCAAAGTCCCATATCTGGTGATCAATCAAACTCGCGTCTCAGCAGTGTTTGAGATCCGTGCTCCCTGCTAAGTGCGGTGAGGACCGAACAGCTTCATCCTTTGTTGCACTCATGCGCTCGCCTGCTTGCTTACATGGTCCGACAGACTCCAGTACGGCAGATTCCGGGGTGAAGAAGTGTGTAATAGATGACAGAAAGACGTTTTTACTCTTTCACTTTCTTCTAAACCCGTTTATAGATGAAACTTTGTAAGGTTTATGACAATGGTTGAATGTCGGTAGGAATATTGTGTTGGAAATTTCTAAGTTTCTGAGATGTACTCGAAATATTTGACGTTTCTCTAGGTACTGTACTCTCGTTTCCGGATGATCAGTTGTCGTTATCCTGACATAAATTTTATCACTTTTTGTGATAATTAATCACTCTTACTTGGATCGAACCCGGGGGCCTTCCGAATTAAAGGCTAGTACGCTAACAATTTCGGTGGCCCAGTGCTTAGGAGTCATTCCGGCGGTATATAATAACGCATATATGTTCCTGTAACTGTTTATTTTTAACCACGCGTCGTCTGGTTGAATTAAGTAGAGTGAGAAATTGTAAAAATAACCTATTTGCTATAACCAGAGTATTTTCTCATTCTTTCATCAGAGTTTGACTTTTTTTTTCCTACCCGTATTAAAAATACTAATGCCTCTGATTTTAATGCAAAAATGAAGATTAAACAAGGTGGGAACAACTCAATTAATGTTAATATGTTCCAGATGGCGTAGATACTGATGCTGAATTCATACGTTCATGCTGTTTGTTAATATCGTTATGTTAAACTTTATAATTATTCCAGGCATGGCTGGGAAGCCAGTGTTGTTGGTCTCAATTTGCATAACACGGATGCACCCAACATTGTACGTATTTAATGTGGGATACATCAGTGGTGCTTGGGAACTGGTTGGTGCAGAATAGCGTGTATAATTTTCAGGAGTTCTCTGAAATCCAGCTACCTCCTAATTGAAAGGTGAACCGACCGATTAATTTATTCGTGTGTAATGGTACATGTTTAAAACGTGTTATGAACATTTCCGACGCGTTTTAATGTACCACGATACCCCCTCTCTGATCTCTCTCTTTCTCTCTCTTTATTCTTTTTCTTTACAGTTATGACAGAATTGGGAGATTATACTTCTTTGTATTAATTAATAGTTCTTTATCTGTGATTAATTAGGACATTCTTCACTTTGGTCCTGTCGTAATTTTTACAAAGTCCTCATTGTTTTACAGGCTACAATTTTTAATAAGGTATTTAATTAAATCTTTATAAATGCCTTTATCAGACACACTCTAATTGAAGTCATATATCAGAGCTTTATACAGGATGATTCAAAAGTCCCTGTGTGGCCGTGATCGTTACCTTGTAAATTGTTGTAACAGAACGTTCACGACGATAAATATATAGTCTTATAGGTGCACAGAGATTTTATTTGTAATGTTTTCTCCAAGTTAATTAATTACTAACATGGCAATGGTCCGAATATTTAAGGTTGGATTTGACGTATATAAAGTTGCCTGAATACGCATTACTTTAAGTTATGCACAGAAACTTAATCGATTTACGGTTCTAATTAGCCTCGTCAAGGAGATCGAATTATCTTAAGCAAAGTGCCATCTTAAGTTTTTCCATGAACTTCTATCAACTAACTTTGAAATAAGTCACTTTAATTTCTAAACTTCAGCACTTAAATGGACCTGTAACTAACCTTTTTTGAGAGCTGTATTCGCCGACGGCTTTATAAACACATTACGTTCCATTAAAGGATTTTTCTGTTTCACCGAAAAAGTCTATTAGTTTTAATCCATTTTAAAACCTGTGTCAGTAAAACAACACGAAACGAAATTAATCTTCGATTACCTATAGCGAGACATCATTGCTGCAACTCTCCCTGGATTTCTCTCATTGTTTGTGACTAATGATTGGAAACGGGAACTTTGGGACAAAGACGGAAAAAGAGGGAAGCTTTGTGCTCCATTAGAGCTCATATACGCATGTTCCAAATGCGCTCCTTGGCATATCGCCGATACTATTGCCGTTTGCGAATTTATTGTAAACACTAATTCACTGTCACTAAACTAATAGTACTGTAAATGTCACACTTCATAGTAGAGGTATCAAGAGATGTAAGTTTGACCTTTTGTTTGTGTTGTTCTAAGTCTTGGTCTCAGTGTTAGGAAACAAAATATGTCGGTTTTGTAGATGGTGGTATTTTGGATTGTTGTTGAATATGTAGGCAGTATGTTCCTCCGAAACACTGTCATATAACCACACGACGCAACACCCCAGAAGACCACCATGTTTATTAACATCGCCGTGAAAACCTCAAATCCTTTGTATATAAAGATGCTTGAAAACAGGGTGTTAAGAAGAATATTTGGATCAAAGAAAGAAGTAGTAACAGATGAATGAAGAAATTTATGCTATGCGGTCCTTCATAATCTGTACTGTTTACACCAGATATTTTTGAGATGGTCGTGTGAAAAATGTGAAATAGGTTGGGCATGTATCACTCGCAGAAGTAAGGAGGAATGCGCGCAACATTTGTCGAGTCATACCTGATTCCGCGTGTTTCAGCTCCTAAACTTCTGATAGGTTTAGATTAAATTTGGTGATAAAATCCTCTCGGGTGACAGGCCGCGTCAGAATAGAGCAGAAGTCGAACTTTTCAGATACATTGTCTGTCTCCATCATCAGGAACGGTTTATATCTACTAAAAATAGCGCCCCTTCTTGTATGACCTCTGACCACTAGTGAATGCGGACG